ATGATAGAATACAAGATTGCGCCGTCCTGGGCGTTGACATTTGTGTACCACAAGTAAACAACGAATAGAGCGAAAAGAAGAACGAGTTGAAACTGCCAAAGCAGTTCACTTTACAGCGAAAAACGTGTTTTAATTTTGCTAAATGCGAAAATATTGCATTTTTCACCTAATCTATTAGAGAACAGTGAACATTTTAGTGCACTCCATTGCTTTGCAATTAAGGCTGCTGCAGAAAACTGCAGCAGCATCTCTGCGGGATTGATTAGTTAACTTGCTAATGGAGGCTGCGTGGAGCAGAAACAAAATCCTTGTGAGGAAATGCTGTTAATATAATAATAGAGAAATATTTCGGGAACGGCTTTGCCGTGCCCTATGTACACAAAATGCAGCGATTCGTCCCAGCGCTGCACTTGCATCTACGCTTCTTGCATCTTGACGGCTGTCGCAATTTAACACACATCACTTCATTGTATTAGTTTTTACGCAGTCTTCAACTCAAAAATCACTCACAAATTGCAAATCAACACAATTTAAACTGATTTTTCACTTATAATTCATATTTCTCTTTCGCTGATTTGTAAACAAAGGTTTATTTACAAGTTACCACAACTGTCAAAATCGGCAAAACCAAAGTAGCGGTACCACTGACGGCGCCACCTTTGTTCGCTGCACCGTGATAGCGAAACTATCTGTTTGAGGGTTGCGATATCAGCAGTAAATCATTTTATCTGAACTTGCTTACTTTTTTCGCTGTATGATAAGACCAAAAAAATTAAAGGAACACAAAAAATTTGTATTTGCAAAGAAATAGTGTCAAATTTCTCATAGTGCATAGTATATAATCAAAATGGTTTATACCGGAACCATATCGAAGATATGGTCCCACGTATCTAATTTTTTTGCGAAAACTAATAGAACCATTTACAATAACCGTTTAAGCATAATACTATTTAAAATAAAACAAAAACTCTAAGTTAGTGGTCACTATTTAGTAATAGTTGAATCACAAACATTAGGTATAGAATTCGTTTATTGTATCCTAGTGGACGAAAATAAAATAGTGTTCATACTGAGCTTACTCTATTGCAGATACGAAGATAACGCCTAAATGTGACGATATTTTTTTCCATTCTTTGATTTAAATGCATACATATGTTCGTTTTGGTTTATGATCTTTGGAAACTTTTCTGGTGAACCTATAATTCCCTCAGCTTCTTACCATATACGTATATTGTTATCAGCTCCACATGCATATGTACTTATACATACATACTATCCATATCGTGACCTTCATTCACAAAGGCCCTAAACAATAATTTTTTTTTTACAGGAGAAGCAAAAAACATTTTAAAAAGAAAATCATAAACAAATGGTGCTTTTAAAAAGAGGCATATAACGTTTTTGGGACTGGTACTGCAAAATTTTGAGTGAAGGAGTATTTTAATATATCCTACCAAAATGTGTGAAAACCGCAGTTTTGAAAAATTGTTGCTTAGGGCCTTTGCGAATTAAGGTAACTATTTATTCTTTCTCGGAGCTCCCTGCGTGACCTTTTTATTTTGACAAAGACATTATATAGTGAAACATCTTTGCGGCGAATGTGTCAAGGATACTTCACATGGAAGAAAATGCACAACACTTTCTAGCGTCTTGAAATTTGCAATTTACCTCCTAATTTAATGGGCTATAAAACTGAATTACAAAAATTCTGAATACAATATTTGAAATTTTTGGCTATAATTGTTAAAGTTTGTTGAATTTCTATAATTTTTATACGAAGTTTGAAATATGGATTTATGTGGTGCTCTTTATGTAATATGCTAGATTTTTATAAAAAAAAATGTAACATTAAATAAAAAGATAAGAACAGACCAAACTGGCCAAAATGTCACTTAACTTAATTAGCGGTCCACAAGTGTATGTGTATTACTTAAAGGTTTGTTACACTGAGCTAAAATTACAATGTTTTTTCAACCAAGTTATTGGGCCTTATGCAAAAAAACTAAGCAATTGCTTTTTCTTAAAATTTCAGGCCTTTTCCCTAAATTTCTTTGATTATCGAGTAAAAGATTTAAAATTTTAAGAAAAAATAAATTTCTTAGTTTTTATTCATAAGGCACATTATTTGCAGGTTCGGATTCGAATGTCGTCGGAGGCGACATGTAATATTTTTTTGTTTCTTGATTTTCTTTATTACGAAAAGCAACTTATTCAAGCTCAACATTTGAGGGTAAGTTTACTGAACAGCTGTAGCTAAGTTTTTAGAGGTGCTTGCTGTTATTTGTTAACTTTCAGATGATGCGGATTCGAATCCCATCAGAGGCAACGTGTTAAAATGATAATACAAATTTTGTCTTGTATCTCCGAATTATGTATTACGAAATACGAAACGAAAATCGGCAGCCAAAAATTTATTTAACGTAAACAAGAGTGAGTTCAATATTACTAACTTATTGCTGAAAATGTCAAATTGGCATTGTTAATATCAAACAAAAATCACCTTGATTCAATTTCAAGTTTGAATTTGGTAATATTAACCAATTTTTGGTTAATTTTTTCTCGGTGTAGATAGTGCAATTTTCATCATCCGCTATCTACTAGGTAGATTATCTTCAAAATCTGATTTAGACTGAGATAGATATGATTTCATTAGGAAATTTTTGCAAACGTAGATACCCACATAAAAGAAAGTGATGTCTGGAGCTGATTAGATAGGGTATTGGTATTCCTTGTCAGTGTGAACAAATATTAAGAGCGAAAATGTAGAAGCTAATACAGAATGAAAATTTCCCAAGTTTTTTTTTACTAATGTCATAAATCTGTGTGTATAAACATTCTAATCACAATTGTTACAAATTTTAAAGTTCCACAAATGAAATTTGGAAGTGGACCCGAAAAAGTATTCCGAGGGTTCAGAATATATGAGTTCGACGTGTGTACATGTTTAAAAAATATGTCTGTTTGTATGTATATGAGTTTCAAAACATAAATGTAGCTCTTATACATGTGAAGCTATAAGGACTAACCATCGCAATAATAAATATTAATAAATAGTTTTACTTTTATATTATTATTATTGCACTACGTACTTCGCACTACAGTCAAATGTACTTTTGCAATATTTTGTACTTCAGGTGCTGTACTTCTCTGACCTTCTAGACGACCGTCACATGGCCTGGGCGATAAATTCGTGCAAACCCTTCAAGTCTCTGGAGACCAATCGCCTAATACCTGCGCAGCTGCAAAGGCCTCTGGAGGTGTCGTGCCATTGGTTGGCCCCTATTTTTGCGAAGGACAGGGTACATCCTCCTCAAGGCTTGGAGAGTAGTCAGTGCAGCGTTCATCCCGAAGGCCGGAAAAGACTCTCATGTTTCCCCTAGGGATTTTAGGGCTATCAGTCTGTCTTTGTTTTTGCTAAAAACGCTAAAGAGTCTGATAAACCTATACCAACTTAATAAGACTTATCTACAGTATACTTCGTGACAGATCTGATGCAGCGGAGTGTGGGAGCGCCTGCACTCAGCGCAGAATCAATAGGGGCACTCCGCAAGATGGTGTTCTCTCTCCCCTGCCCTGGACTGGTGTCGTTTACCATAATAAAAAATTTGCAAAAATGATTTGTATAAAATTTCTTGCAGTAATATTTGAAATATTCCAAGTTTTTAAATGTAAAAATCTAGGCTGTTTTTTTTTTGGTATCACCCGAAGTATGTGACGTGATGTTACACGACGTTACATTACTAAAATTTCGATTAAAAAAGTTTTATTAATATTGTCTTTAAACGAATTTTTAACTGAAATTAAATATGCTTTTTATAGCGTATATACGTTCAGCGACACTTGGCGGTTCCATTTCTTGCAAAGCTATGCTTTACTTACATATGTCAAATTTGAAACAAATTGGAACATAAATAGAGCTTTTCAAAATATCTCTGGAGCTACCTTGCGATAACTACCAATTTTCGAAAAAAGGTTTGTGCTTAAAAAAGTTTTTGCCTATCAACCGTCATTTTTTTGCGCCCCTCGTGTCGGTTGGACGGGAAAGGAGGTTAAAAACCGTTATCGCTCAAATGAAAATGCAGCTGGCAATATTTATCAAGATAAAAGCTGTGATATTTTTTGTTTTACCAAAAGCAATATACAGTCCCCATTGGCAAAATTTTGCCTGATAATATTATCAAGATAAATACTTTTGTCTGTGGTGACAGGAAGTTACATAACCAGTGTATATTATAAAAAACAGCTAAATTAGCTCATAAATCAGTTAAATAAATGATTGCAATATTTTTTTCACGGTAGACCTTCCGCTGGAAGCGCCTATGTATGTTCTTAAATTTTTTTAATTCCCGAACCGGTGAATTAAACCGAAACCCCGGTTCCAAGGCAAAAACAAACTAGGTTGTTCCACACCTGGTATTTAGTATGATAAGCCGTCTGTCGCTAATCATAAGTGAGACCACGAGGGCCAGAGGAGCATATCTACAAACATTTTTTTTTAGTAATATGATATAATAATATGGGGTGTACCCCAAGGCTCTATTAGGGGACCATTACTATTTAGCATGTTCATTAATGACATATTTAATACTTGTCAACATGCAAAAATGCATGCTTATGCGGATGACATTCAAATTTATTTTTCAGGGGCTCATGACGATGTGGTTAATTTGGTCGCGGATTTCAATAGTGATTTGTCGTCTATATCTTCATGGTCTGTGAGAAACGGTCTATGTCTTAATAGTGAAAAATCATTTGTTTTACCAGTATGTAAAAGAAATATTAATTGTAATGTGATGCCTTCTCTGTACATTGGTGATAAGTCCCTTAAGTTTGTGTCAAAAGTAACTAACCTAGATTTTGTTATAAACACTAGTTTAACCTGCATTAATCATATTAATTCCGTTGTTGGCAAAGTATATTATACTCTGCGGAATTTAAGAATGTCTGCTACTTTTACACCCGTGTGCATTAGGCGTAAACTCGCCATTCAATTAATACTGCCTATAATATGTTACTCGGAATTAATCTACAGTAAGCTGGAGGATGGTTCCGTGCGCAGAAGTGGAAAACTTTTGACTGCCATTCACCTGGGAGTGGCCAGAAGCGATTCTTGTGCGTACGGTTCAAGTCGCAGCTCACAACGTCCGGATATTTATATCCACGTATCCTCTGGGTAGCAACCAAACACCCGTTTGGGAGCGAGCTAAAGTGAGAAGGCGTAAAACTTCGCGTGCGCTGGGTTTGGGTCCCGCCACGTTAAAACCCCGCCCAATGAAAAATTCCAACAAGCCTCGGATGAGACCCCCTTTTTCTGATGACGACCACGGCAAACGTATAAAGGACTATGATTTAAGGGTATGCACCTGGAATATCCGGACCCTTAATGGGGAAGGTGCCTCTGCCCGGCTGGTTGATGTCCTCGGGAAGACAAAGGCTGACATCACCGCCATCCAAGAAATGCGATGGACGGGGCAAGGTAAAGTAAGCGTGAAGCCTTGCGACGTCTACTACAGTTGCCACGTAAAGGAGCGCAAATTCGGTGTTGGATTCGTGGTAGGAGAGAGACTCCGTCGCCGAGTACTGGCGTTCACCCCGATGGACGAACGTCTAGCCACAATCCGCATCAAAGCTAGATTCTTCAACATCTCGCTCATCTGCGCCCATGCCCCGACGGAAGAGAAGGATGAGGCGTCCAAGGATCTCTTCTATGAGCGCTTGGAACGTACATATGAGCGCTGCCCCCGACACGATGTCAAAATCGTGCTTGGCGATTTTAATGCCAAGGTGGGCAAGGAAGGGATCTTTGGCGCCACTGTCGGAAAATTCAGCCTCCACGACGAAACGTCCGATAACGGACTGAGGCTGATCGACTTCGCCGGGGCCCGAAATATGGTAATATGTAGTACTAGGTTCCAGCATAAGAACATCCACCAAGCTACATGGCTGTCTCCAGATCGAAAAACGAGAAACCAAATCGATCATGTTGTGATAGACGGAAGGCATGCTTCAAGCGTTTTGGACGTACGTACACTCCGAGGGCCAAACATCGACTCGGACCACTATCTTGTTGTAGCCAAGATACGCACCCGCCTCTGTGCAGCAAAAAATGTGCGCCCAACAATGCAAGGAAAGCTTAACGTCGAAAAGCTGCAATCACAACAGACGGCCAATTTATTCGCCACTCGACTCACACACCTGCTCTCTGAGAGCACTCTTCAACAATCCGACGTACGCGAGCAGTGGAACCACATTTCCCGATCATTAAGTACCGCCGCCGAAGAAGTAGTTGGATTTCAGCGAGCCCGAAAGAACAACTGGTACGATGAGGAATGTCAAGAAGCCGCAGAGAAAAAAGATGCCGCCTACAGGGCCACGCTGCGATCGGGCGCAACGCGAGCCATGTGGGACCGTTATAGGGAACTGAAGAAGGAAGCGAGACGTATTTGCCGCAATAAGAGGAGAGAGGCCGAAATACGTGAGTGCGAAGAGCTTGAGATGCTGGCCGACAGGAAGAACGCCCGAAAATTCTACCGGAGGATTAGGCGACTTTCAAGACCGGGGCGAACTCCTGTAAGAACAACAATGGCGACCTAGTGACCGATGTCCAGAATATACTTAAATTGTGGAGGGAACACTTTTATAACCTACTGAATGGTAGCAGCGCTGAAAGTAGTGAGGAAGACGAACCCGAGTCCCCAGTCGATGATGATGGAGTAGCTGTCCCACCGCCTGACTATGACGAGGTACGAATAGCGATTACGCGGCTGAAAAACAACAAAGCTGCTGGAGCTGACGGCCTGCCAGCCGAGCTATTCAAGTACGGCGGCGAGGAGCTGATGAGGTGCATGCATCAGCTCGTATGCAGAATATGGTCAGATGAACGCATGCCCGACGACTGGAATTTAAGTGTGCTCTGCCCAATCCACAAGAAAGGCGACCCCGCCATACGCGCCAACTACCGCGGAATTAGCCTTCTAAGCATAGGTTACAAGGTCTTATCGAGCGTATTGTGCGAAAGACTGAAGCCCACCGTCAACGAGCTGATTGGACCTTATCAGTGTGGCTTTAGGCCTGGAAAATCCACCATAGATCAGGTATTCACAATACGCCAATTCTTGGAAAAGACCGCGAGAATAGGATCGACACACACCATCTATTTGTCGATTTCAAAGCCGCTTTCGACAGCATGAAGAGAAGTTGCCTTTATGCCGCGATGTCTGAATTTGGTATCCCCGCGAAACTAATAAGGCTGTGTAAAATGACGTTGAGCAATACCACCAGCTCCGTCAGAATAGGGAAGGACCTCTTCGAGCCGTTTGATACCAAACGAGGTTTCAGACAAGGGGACACCCATTCGTGTGATTTCTTTAATCTTATGTTGGAGAAGATAATAAGAGCCGCAGAACTGAACCGCTCAGGCACAATACTTTATAAGAGCGTACAATTGCTGGCGTATGCCGACGACATCGATATTATCGGTAAAAACAAGGGCTACGTCTGTTCTGCCTTCTCGGGATTGGATAGAGAAGCAAAGCGAATGGGTCTGGTGGTGAACGAGGACAAAACGAAGTATCTCCTGTCAGCACACAAACAGTCAGAGCATACGCGTCTTGGCACCCACGTCACTGTTGACAGTTACAAGTTTGAAAAAGTAGACGACTTCGTTTATTTGGGAACCAGCATTAACACCAATAATAATGTCAGCCTTGAAATCCAACGGAGAATCACTCTTGCCAACAAGTGCTACTTTGGGCTGAGTAGGCAATTGAGAAGTAAAGTCCTCTCTCGTCGTACAAAGATCACACTCTATAAGTCACTCATCATGCCTGTGCTGGTGTATGGCGCGGAAGCATGGACAATGAAAGCATCTGATGAGGCGGCTCTTGGAGTTTTCGAGAGAAAGATTCTGCGAAAGATTTACGGACCTTTACGCGTTGGTGATGGCGAATATCGCAGACGATTTAACGATGAGCTGTATGAGCTTTACAACGATATAGACATAGTGCAGCGAATTAAAATTCAGCGGCTCCGCTGGCTTGGCCATGTCGTTCGGATGGACAGAAACGCTCCTGCTCTGAAAATATTCAACGCGGGCCGCGATGCTGGGAACAGATAAAGAGGAAGGCCTCCTCTGCGTTGGAAAGACCAGGTGGAGAAGGACTTGGCTTCACTTGGCATTTTCAATTGGCGTCAGTTAGCACAGAAGAGATATGACTGGCGTGCTGTTTTGGACTCGGCCAAAATCGCTTAGGCGGTTACAGCGCCAAATAAGAAGAAGAAGAAGAAGCTGGACTCACAATCTGCTCATAAAATTGATGTGGTATTCAATCACGTTACGCGGTATGTTTTTGGGTTGGCGAAATACGATCATATATCTGAATGGAAATAACTGCTCCTGGGATGCGGTATTTTTGAATACTTGAAGGCTAGAAATTGCATTTTTCTATTTCGCCTTATGATAGATAAGGAACCTAGCTATCTATTTGAAAATTTGTCTTTCCCGAAATTTGCGCGCCTAACGGAATTGATCGTGCCCAACTATAATTATTTAACATCTGCAAGACTATTTTTTGTTAATGCTATTTGCACCTGGAACTCGATTCCATCTCATATTCGTAATAGTTTGAACATAAGCAACTTTAAGAGTGTTTTGTATTCTTATTTTCGTTAAAATGCTATTTCATATCCAAAGTTATACCCTTTCCTCTGAGGCTCGCTATCTAGTTAGGTATAGGGTAATCAATACATTATTCTTATGTTTTTCCTTATGCTCCACCTGTGATTCTCTATAGAGTTTTGTAAGTTTTTGTTGTTCCTGTTTTTGACTTATATATTACTTAATTTTAAACATTAACATATTGTAATTCTTTATTATAAGTTACAGTTGTACTATAAAAGATCATTGGGATCTTATTGTGCTAATGTTATATTTTATAATAAATGAAATGAAATGAAATGAGAAAGAAGGATCTATAAAAAATAAATACCGTCTTTTACTAAAGTAAAGGAATACTAAAAGGGACTATTACCGTTTCGATTCTAGTAATTTAAGGTGCACCTCAGCTTTTTTTGAGCCGCCAGTTAGGCTACTCTGGCCCTCATGGCCTCAAATATGTATGCACTATTATTTATCATGCATCACGTAGCATAATAAAATATAGTTATTACCAGTATTTTATATATACACACATACTTGCAAATATGTTTTACTAAAAACGAATGCGTGGTAGAAGGCGTGTGATTGTGTACCATTCCCATTTTATGATGTCAATAAAAGTGTATGAAAACATTCTTTTATTCATAAATTAACTGATAGCCGTATCGCAATTTTTTGGTAAACTAAAAATCCACTGTTTTAGTTTGATATTAAATCTTTGTTTGCGTAGCTGTTGTTTATAAAAGCCCCAAGACATACAGACTTAGAACCGTTTTCTCAGGTAGGTTTGACAGTAAATTTGACACACAAAAAAGTCTAAATAGTGAAACTGCGTTTTCAGTATTTCTCTTTGATGTTTTTTAAAAGGTTATTTTTTAAAATGACTTCAAAGTTTCACATTTATGATTCATTCCAAAAATTGTTGAAAAAATTCAGTGCAATGTGGAATTACAATATGGTTAGCAAACAGAAGAGAAAGCTCTGTAGAATTAAAAAAGAATAAATTTTTAGTGCAAATGACCTTTTAAACTTTTATTCCTGAATAACCTTGAAAATTTGCAGCATATATTTTTGAAAAAAAAATATATATATATGTTGAGGGCTAATATACACGCGACCGCATCTTCTTACGTCCTTCTAACTTAGAAAAATTTAATCAATTAAAAGCACATTTCCAATACCTATTCGTCTGTGTGAACCAAAAGAAATTTAACTTTTTCAATTCTACCGAATTTTCTCTTTCACATGGTACCCATACTTTACGTTGGTGACATGATGTTTAGGCCTGAGCAGATCCCTAGTAACATTTTCCGTAGAATAAATTTGTAAAATACATATATCATTCCTCTAACGGACTTCTAAATTTGCTTTTTGCGGACCTTTTCAGACGGGAGTTATATTTTCTAGAACATTTATCAATCCTCTAACGAACCTCCAAATTTCCTTTTTGAGGGGTTTCTTCAAGGAAGCCAAAAATAACAGTTAAAATTTGACTAGTGTTTCGATGAAAAATAAAAGTTATCTTTTCATTTTAATTTTTTGTTAAGAAATAACAGTAAATATTTGAATACTCTTTTTTTCATTCACAACCAAAAAAAAGACACTTAAAATTTGAATTTTATTTTTACGATAAAAAATAACAATTAACTATCGACCTTCAGATTGTTTTATTGCATCGCTTATTTGCTTATCATTGCACAAACGACTAATTTTTTGTTGTGACCTAACACTAAAAAGTTTCGTACTTAACGGTTTAGAAGCAGATCGAATAGTGATTAAATTTTGACTTTCAATTTTGCTCGGGGAAATAAAAGCCAAACTTTTAGTTAGTCTAGTTTTAAGGCTGAAAAAATAAAAGTGTAATTTTAACTATTATTTTTGACTGAAAAATAATGGTAAAAAATAACGTTTTTCTTTTTTGAAATCATTTAAGACTAATACTCGTTAACCAACAAGCATCACACTGTTATATGTATACAAATCATTTAGAAAAATGCTGACTGATTTAATAGAAATTTCGAAAATAACTGTATTTTATTATTGAGTATTTAAAACTTAAATTTAAAAGCGTTGAACTTCTGCCGCAGCAATGTATTTACATACACACACACATATTTAAAATTGGTTAATGTCACTCACACTGGATGTCAAGCGCTGCAGCGGCCCCCAACCAAATCGACTAGCGATGATCTAATATTTTCAATCACTGTGATAAACGGAGATTTGCCAACCACTGTGAAAAAATCGCCGTTGGACCACTTTAGATACCGCCCGTGTGGAATACCTTGAAATTTCGCGCTTCAAAGTTACGTAGACAATTACTATGTATGTAGTTATGTAGCGACACGTGTGAACGATAATCCGAAGTGGTAATAAGATATTATATATTTGATATACGTTTGTGTACTAAGTAGTACTTAGTTCTAATGTGATGGGTAATTTTTTGCGACTGGCATTAAACACCTGTGGCGTTACACTTAAACAAACCGACAAGTTAAACTTTTTGTGCCGATATATTTATTTAGAACATATTCTGCGAAAATACCACAACACCGCACTGATTTAGCTGTTTTATTGCGTGTGATGCTTGAAACACATTGAAAATGACGGTCCACAGGCTACAGCCGTCTATTTTGTTTCCTTATTATCTAAACGGACATGCATTTTTTGAACGCAGAAGATGAACCTTATCTGCCTTTGAAAAATTAGAAATAACACTATGGCTCTATCACTGCCAAAATAATTATTTACATAAAAGTACGTGATAAAACAATTTGAAAGCTGTGGCCCGTGGCCCGTCGTCTTCAATGTGTTTCAAGCTTATCTAATCATTTCTTTGGCGACGAGACCAACTCTTATCAACAGTGCCGGATTTGGGAACCTTTGGCCCCTAGGCGCTTTCCGTGGTGCGGCCCCCCCGGGGAGTACTAAGGAATAGGGTGTTTTTTCAATAAAATTCTGAAATAGTGCATTGTTGAAAAGTTTTTTGAGATAGGGCGTTTTCGAACTGGCTGCCAAGATTGGTCGATCTTCCACTCAGCAGTCGATATATTATTGGTATTGAACGAAAAAAAAAACTTTTTTTTATTTTTCGCATATGTACATATGTATGTACACACGAGGGTTGTTAATTCCGGGATCCTGGGATCCTGGCCCTAGGATTTACGGGATTTGTAATTTGTACTAGTGGCAATAATAGAAACGAATTATGTTGACCAGTTTTGGTTATATTGTTTATTTAATATTTAATATTTTGTTTTTTTATAAATATCGAGCTCATTATACATAAGTATAACACCGTGCGACAGGCAATTTTACACACACAAAAAATCAATATATTGGGCCAAATATAGTAAAACTGCGTCGATTGCTCGGTGTAATTAACTGCATTTATACAAGAAAGCAAAAAAAAAGGTTCATCAACATTTCAAACTTTTTACTCCGAATTTTTAGAAAAATTTTAGATAAACAGTTTTACAGCCCATTAAATTATATAATTTATACTATATAAATAGTAGCATAAAGCTACTTTCAAGTAGCTAAAAATAGCCTTGATTTTATTTTTGTTTTTTTTGCTGGCGGTGTTATGCCTTTTCTTCCATGCAAAGTATGTTCGATAATTTTTTTATATGGAAGAACATGGCTAGCATCGTAAAAAAATCAACGGTAGTATTTTGTAGCTGCTGCAAAAACGTACACTTCAATGCACTGCAATGAGGTAGACTTTTATAAAAAAAAATTAAATCTTATATATATGTATATAAATGTGAATATATAAATGTGAATGTCTGTTTGTTTATTACCTTATAACGTTTGAACCACGACACGGAATCGCACGAAACTTTGCACACTTATGTTTTTACCCCGGGAAGGTTATAGGTATGGTTTTATTTGCAAATATGGCGTCAATTTTGCGAGAGGCGTGGCACCACCCTTAGGCTTTAATCAGCTATAACTTCGAAACCATAAGTCACATGAACTTGAAATTTGGTATGCAGACATATCTATGGTAGGTGCTTATAGTAAGGTATATACAAATGAGTTTGTAAAAGGGGGCGAGCCCATAACATAGGCGTGGAGGTTTTATCAGCCATAACTTCGTAACCACAAGTCACATTACCGCTTCAATTCTCTCTGATATGCCTTTCAAATTTAAGAGACTTCAGTTGCCCGTTTTCTTAACTTTTGCAATGACGATAAACACGATTTCCCTAAAAAAAAACCCAACACTTTATGGAAATTAAAATGTATGATAATTGCATTGAAAATTTATGCATTTATGTTAATAGATGCTTTGAAGTACTAAAAACTTGCTGTGGAATAATATTACAGTTATTATTCGTAAGAAATTTGATAGTTAAAATTGAGTTATTACAATACAACATAGGTATTTCTACTATGTATTATACAATTTATGGGAGATATTTTAATGTAAATAAAAACACCTGCTGTGCTAAAACAATATGCCATAACATCGAAGCTATATTACTGGCCTACCATATTCTGCTATCACGGCTATAGTAAAATTAGAGCAGAAATAAAATATAACATCTTTACATAAAGTATTTTTCGTATTAAATAAACCAAAGAAATATAGACAATCCATAAAATCCATTTGTTTACTTAATGCTTGAAGTGAAACTTCTTTAGCGGCGGTTGGTTGGTTGGGAGTAAATTGGCAAATTCAACGGAAATTGCACACGGAAATGGTGCATCGGAATTTG